AAATAAATTTAAATTTTATAATAATATTTATAACAATTTTAAAAATGCTTGATTCGGATCAAATATTTTAGTACTTCTAAATATTTATTTTATTGTGGCATTTAATATTTTTTTTTTATGTTGTCAATCAGAAGATTTTTGTTTGATACCAGCCAACTGACGTAAATCTGTGTGTAGCAAGGAAAGTTGTGCAAAATTTTGTATATTTATGGTAGAAATAATAATCTTTAAAAATGTAATAAAAAAATAATCAAGACTTGGTATTAAAAATACAAAAATTACTAAGAATCCAGACTATAAAGTAATAAGCTGGTATTTAACAATACTAATTAAAATTTATTTCGTAACTTATATTTTATAGCATAATACAGGAACTAATAAACATTTAATTTGAAATTAGATTTGCTTATTCTACGAAATTTAATGACAATAGTTAAAGCTATTTTTATTTTATTTTATATACCAATTAGTGTGTAGTAAAAATTTATTGATCTTGTAGATAGCTTATTTANGTATTTAATATATTTTTTTATGTTGTCAATCAGAAGATTTGTTTGATACCAGCCAACTGACGTAAATCTGTGTATAGCAAGGAATGTTGTACAAAATCTTATATATTTATGGTAGAAATAATAACCTTTAAAAATGTAATAAAGAAATATGCAAGACTTGGTATTAAGAATACAAAATTTACTAAGAATCCAGACTATAAAGTAATAAGCTGGTATTTAACAATACTAATTAAAATTTATTTCGTAACTTATATTTTATAGCATAATACAGGAACTAATAAACATTTAATTTGAAATTAGACTTGCTTATTCTACGAAATTTAATGACAATAGTTAAAGCTATTTTTATTTAATTTTATATACCAATTAGTGTGTAGTAAAAAATTATCGATCTTGTAGACAGCTTATTTAAATAAATGCTCTAAAATTTATTGCTTTTAATTTAATAAAAGTATTATCAACTAATTAATATTCTTAGAATGAAAATCTTGCAGTGTTGAGTAGTAAGGCTGGTTAAATGATAGTGGAGGTTCGAAATGACTTAAGAGGGCAATGGAAATGACAAATAAACCACAGGATAATAAAGTTGGTAAGCCCATTACCAACTCATAGATGCACATTAGGGGGTATTAGGGGTTTATAAATACCCTGAGTCATAAATCAACACTTCTATAGTTTATTTTTTAATTTTGTGAAACCAAAAAGTCAAATTAAGGACATCATCAAAAATTTTAATGGCTTCATGATTTAAACTGCATGCATAAATATGACTTTTTTCAATATTCTAAAATAATGTACACATTTTAAATAGAATAATTTTTAGTACTCTATAGAGCACTAAATACTCTTTTACTATAATATTTTAAAAAGGAATAGATCAAAAATGGTCCATCTACCTGTCGCATTCATACTAATCTAGTGGTTTTCTTCTAACTTGTAAAATTAAGTTAATTATCGAAAGTTTAAATTAAGTTATAAGTTATAGGTTAGTTAGTGGCCAACTTAAGATAAGTTAAGTTAGCTAGTGAATTCTGCTTCTATCGTTATAATAAGTAATTTTATTTGTTGAAAAGAAATTATAAAATAACCATAGATGCATTAAAAATGACAAGATATCAAAACTTTATATCAAAATCATTTATAAAGGTTTTTGTTTTATTTTTCAATTTCGAAAAACAAAGGTTTAATTTAGTTTGTATATTAATTCGTGATACAGTTTTTACTACCGCATAATAAATTTGTTACGACAAAAGCCTATTGGAAAATGTGTGCATTAGCAGCATCAAAAAAATAAAGTAAAAAAATTAAATTTGTGGTCATATTTTAAAAACTGAAATGTCATCGTTAAAAATTTTATGGAAGAACAAAAAAAAAAAAAAATCAATGGTGCCTTAAGGAAATTAGAAATCTTTTGAAATGCGTAAATATGAACATTACAGGTTAAGTAATTATTTTCAGATAATTCTTTTATACAAATTATAAAAAATTTCAAAAACCGATTTTTGTGACATATTTTGAATATGAGCCAAAGAAATTATATCTTATTTTGACAGACTATTGTTAAAATTATTTATTTTAGATTATAATAATTTTTTTATAAATAAACGTTTTGCATATTAAGTTATTAATTTATGTTAAATTACATTTCGGTGTTGTGAGTCGTGGAAGCTTGACCAAATTATAAACGAGATGTTTCAAGCTTAATTAGTATACTATAAAATCACTGTTCTTTGCTCACAATTTTTTTATGTAGGGCCCAAAATTACAAAAAAATCACGGGACACCGAGCGTACGTTTTTCTTTTCAGGCCATAAATATAGTTCTGTAACCATATCACGATCATAGGGGTTGCGTATTAAATATTATTTTGTTCTAAAGTGTTATATTATTTCGGCCTTAAAATTTAATTGTTTAAATAGAACTTTGTTAGAAAACGATAAACAAAATAAAATCTAAATATTTTGAAAATTTGCATTGCTCTTATGAAACAATTTTAACGTTTTACTAATGTTTTATACAGATTGTTTTTAAAATATATTTTTTAATAACTCTGGGAATTAATAAAAGTCNGTTTTTAAAATATATTTTTTAATAACTCTGGGCACCTTCCCTAGAACCCTATGACTAGAATCTAAAGCCGTCCTCAGTTGTTCTATGCATATGCACATAGTTGACTGTAATGTTTTCATAAACACCTCACGATTAAAAATATTCCTATTCAAAATATTTGTACGATCTGATTACCGTGTAATAGCCGTATAAAATTAATGAAAAACAAATATATTTTAATGAACGTAACATTAATTAATTAATACTACAATTACATATAGATTCTAGTATTAATTAATATTACAATCTATTAGTTGTGCAAATGAAGTCTTTTTAATCTCAAAACAAACGGGACATAAAATATCAGCTATGAAATTTGTGTATTATGTGTTTCATGTATTTCATAAAGTAATATACGTTACTTTATGATTTATCCTTAAAATATTTGTATATTTTTTCAATCATTCACTATATGTTATGGAATTTACAAATACTAATAAATGTTGTGGTCCGATTCTTTCCAATTTGTCGTATAGATGAAATATATTTAAGAAAGTATATACTCACGAGAAATAATATTCTAAAGAAAGTACAGTTTACCAATCCTTTGAAAATATAAGAATTTTTCAGAAGAGCAAAAATATTTGCTTAATAATTTTCAATAGTGTTTAATACATATAAACATTTTTAGAGAATAAAGTAACAACATTTCTGATAAAATTGATTAACAACTTTCTGGTACATGACAAAGAATACCTTACACTTATTTACAAGGGGCGGATATCCATGGACATAAAATAATGGCGAAGAGGTGATGTTCCCCACTACTTTACATTCTAAATTTTGAAATGAATACTGTGAATGAATTAAAACTATAATGAATTAATGGGTAGAACAAAAGAAATTAACAGTGATTTATTGTTATTACAATATTATTATTTAAAAAACAATAAATGATAATATTAAAGTACAATTAGTAAAACAATATAAAGAGTTATAACTAACTAACTGTGATCAAATATTTACTGAATTAACTGGAAAGACTAACATAGTAAGTAAGGTCCATAAATACACTGCACTTGGACAATAACCGTAAATGCAAATACATTGTAGACCTCAAATAGATTATATAATATCTAACTTATGTCCTTTTATTTAATGCAAATGACATTAAAAATGTTATCCACCATGTACCAAAAAATTATGAGTCTATTTCACAGGGATCATTTGTGTTTCGCAGTTCAAAAATATCAATTTCCATTAAACACCATTGAAATATTTAATTTATTTATGCTTTTCTGGAAAATTGCCACAAGTGACATAGCTTTTGGAAAATAACCATAGAAATTTTTGTGTAATTGACAATTGTTTGAAAACGCTATTCAATTTTATACATGGCTACACTGTAATGATTATGAACTTTTATGATAACGTTATTTTATTGATAAACTATTTTAACATATAAAGTATTCCTAATATATATTTGTAATATATTTAAAAATAAAAAGAAGTTACGAGATTTTTTTATTTATTTTACTTATTGAAGTTAATTACTAATTTTATTATTTAGATTATTATTTAATAAATTTATATTAAATTAAGTAATTTATTCATTTCAATTCATAATCTACTACGAAAATGGTAATTATGTATAACTTAATATGTAACTTTTTGAATTGGTTAAAATATGTATTTATTACTTAAAATTTCAGTAGTGTTTACTATGATCATAAAATTAAAATTTTTATTCTTACTTATTTTTTTGTTTAGTCTGATATCCAGATGGATTGTGCACTGGATCTTATGCGGCGTTTACCGCCGCAAAAAATTGAAAAGCATCTCAGTGATCTCATTGATCTAGTTCCAAGTTTATGTGAAGATTTACTTTCTTCTGTTGATCAGCCATTAAAAGTTATTAAAGATAAACAAGTAGGTAAAGATTTTTTGTTATGTGACTACAATCGAGATGGAGACTCATACAGGTATGAGGTACCTATTTATATACTGTATAGTATTACAAAAAAAAAAATTTGTATATATTTATAAGATTGTCTTATTTATTAATTATAATTTAAGATCGCCATGGAGCAATACTTACTTTCCACCATTAGATGATGGTGCTGTGCCAACTGAGAAATTAAGAAAGCTAGAAGTAGATGCAAATATGGCTTTTGATCAGTATAGAGAAATGTATTTTGAAGGTGGCGTATCTTCAGTTTATTTATGGGACTTGGACCATGGTTTTGCAGGTAAAAATTTAAATATTTGTAAGTTATAAATCTTGATTTATGAATTTTGTGAAGTTATTCCTACCCAACCAGTACTAATTTGCATTAATAGGCTTGAAAACTTGGTAATGAGTTTTAATTAGGGTTATAGTACTGGTTAATTAGAGGATTAATTACCCGAAAATGAAAATGATTTTTAAAAAATATTAATTTATTAGATAAATTTCAAAAAAATTTATTCAAACTTTGGTCCTTTTAAACNGGATTAATTACCCGAAAATGAAAATGATTTTTAAAAAATATTAATTTATTAAATAAATTTCCAAAAATTTGTTCAAACTTTGGTCCTTTTAAACAAATTTTATAAATCCAAACTAGTGTTTACATATATGTAAAATACAATTTTTTTAAAGATTTGATTATTTTCATAATTAAATTTTGGTATAAAAAATTTCTAATTTTTTAATTAAAAATTATAAATAATTGAGGAAAATCCACTTTAGTAGTGTACTAAATTGTAGGTTACTAAGAATATTTTAAAATATAAAAGGTTTCAAATAATAATAATATGTAGACTTAATAAAAACAATTAAAAGTAAACTCATTTATTTGTTATTTTTAGTGCAATATTCTCAGGTTATTCAATATAAAATAATAGTAGGTAATTACAATTAAATAACTACATACAATGATTAAATTAATAATTCAAATCAATTAAAAATTGTTTTGTAGTTGAAGCTTTATATAATAAAAGATCCCTTAGACTATTTTTCTTTTTAGAATATTCATTAAATTACTAAAAAAAATAATTAATAATATAATTGATTAAATTTTATTTTACTTTAAGGTGTAATTTTGATTAAAAAAGTTGGAGATGGTTCTAAGAAAGTTCGTGGTACTTGGGACTCTATTCATGTTGTTGAAGTACAAGAAAAATCTAGTGGGCGCAGTGCTCATTACAAANAAAAGTTGGAGATGGTTCTAAGAAAGTACGTGGTACTTGGGACTCTATTCATGTTGTTGAAGTACAAGAAAAATCTAGTGGGCGCAGTGCTCATTACAAATTAACATCTACAGTTATGCTGTGGTTACAAACTAACAAAGCTGTTTCAGGTAGCATGAGTTTAGCAGGTAGTTTAACACGACAAACAGAAATGGATAATCCTACATCTGATGCATCCCCGTACATAGCAAATATTGGGCGAATGGTTGAAGACATGGAAAATAAAATGAGAAATACATTAAATGAAGTTTATTTTGGCAAAACTTGTGATATAATGAATGGTCTACGAAGTGTTGTTCCTCTCAATGCTGATGATGAAAACAAAGAAGCTCTTCGTCAAGACTTAACAGCTGCTTTACAAAAACGACATACTAAATCAGATGTGAAAGATACAGTTAGTCCAAACTAATTAATTATTATTTAAAAATATTTCAAAATTATTTTTTTTTGTATACTAGTTTTCATAAATAAAAAAAATAGTTAACAGCATTAAATAAAATCATAACTAAAGTATAATTTTACTTTTTATACATTTTTTTTTTTTTTTTTGTGAAGTGATTTTTACAATCTTATATAAATATCAATTTTATCATTTTTAGTATCTTTAACTTAAATTTTGCCAAGAGAAAATCGTTTTATATAATATATTCTTTAATTGAAAATTAATTTCAAATTTAAATAATGATTTATGAGATTCAAATTATGTACCTAAATGCAATGTAAATTATTAATTTATATGTGGTAAATTGTTTAAAACATTATCATAAGTATTAACAAATGAAAAATTGATGAAAGAAATCATAATATATTATATTTTTTGATTTTATATAGTTTAGTAGTAAATTTAATTTATGTCTAAAATATATTTATATAATTATTATGTTAAAAAAAAAAAATAGAAAATTAATGTTCTTGTAAAATAATTTTTAGAACTGATTCAGTAACTATAATTTAATAAAATTATTTTACCTTTAAAAGTAAAAGAGATATAAATCCCATTTTATATGTTATATATTTATTTTTATAGCAATTTTTTAATAGTGTGTGTTAAGCATTAAAATATTACCAAATTTTATCTATTTTTTTTTTAAAGCAAATAATTGAATTGTCATAGAATAAAATAGTGAAGAAATTAGCTTTTTTAAACATACATATTTTACAACATGCCCGCTCTATGATTATATAAATATCACTTCATTATTTAGAGTGATCAAATAAATCAATAAAAACTTACATTATTACAAATTTATACATACAACACCCTAACTTATATATATATATTAAGCTATGGTAATTTTTTAATTCCTTATAATACTTTTAAGACTATTATATAAAATCATTAACAAAAGTACAATCGCATAATAATTTTAACAATTGAATTGTTTCATATTGCAAATATTTTTAAATTAGTATAAAATTATTGGGAGCTTTCAAGTACTCTTCAACAGGAACATTTTACCAGCTTTCTTCTGTTTTGGCAATGAAATAAATAATTGAAAAATCTCTCCTTCAAAAAAAAAAAAATACTATAGAATATTATATAAATGTTTTAGTTGTTTTCTTTCATGTATTATTCAAACAAATAATCACAATTTACAAAATAATTTACTTTATTTAATTATGTTATGAACTGAGCAACCAAGTGTTTTACGTAAAATCAAAATACACTATTGTATTAAACGACAAATAATATGTACGGCTCTAAAATATAATTTATACAAGAGGTGTATTTAAAAAGGACTTATAAAAATAAAATTGCAATTCTTCCGAATTTTTGAGACTGGCTTTCTGATTTTCTCACAATTACCTTTTGCAACCATTGATCAAGTAAAGTAAAATACAATTTTTTTAATTCTCCAGAAAATCATTTATTTTGTTAGAAATAATATATGTGTTAAAGCTTTCGTATTGTTGTATTGTTTGAAATGTTTAAGGATGTATCCACGTTATCAGTTATGAGCTGATGGTAAAGATATAACCAGGAGCTCGTAACTATTAAAGTTAAGATGAAATATATTTAAAAATATTATATCTTTATGAATAATTTCCTATCTTTATATAATTACATATTAAATATATTGGATTGTAATAGGACGACAGTTAAAAAAATATATACAGTGTAATCGATTTATAATAAACCACTGGATTAATAGCAAAATTAATACAATATTGGAAAAAAATTTTTTGATTTCTTTTAGTTTAATGTATTGATGATTTATCTGGTATTAATTATTTTTAGGATCATTATTTATAACGTATATGGGTGTCAACTTTAATTTTTAAACTATATTAACATTTTTTTATATAGTTTATTTAAGGTACATGTTTTTTTCTATAAATCAATCAATCATGACATATTTTTTATGTTGATCATTTATACCTTATAAACTTTAGACACTCCTAACGTTATCAGGTATCATCTAAAAAAATAATTAATTGCTAATAAATCATAAACTATATGTAACAAAAAAAAATCAAAAACTATTTTTTCAAAATTGTACTTATTTTAAGAGTAATCGATCGGATTATGATAAACCGATAAGTCTGTAAGTTTATCAGTTTTTTTATAGTGATTTTATTGTTAAATAATCGTTGAATTACTAATTAGAAATTATGTTTATAACGAGACATGATTGAAAAAACTTAAACCAGTTTGAAATAAACGTCAAAATTCTCTAAATAACTTACCTAAATATTGTAGACAGCAAAATGACTATTAACATATGTACTTAGACTGTTTAGAGTCACAGTGATATAACAATAGCTTATATTTAACTTGGGCTATTGGATTTTGATCACATTTAGAGAAAAACAAAAATGTAGAAAAACAATTGAATTTAGACGATATATGTATTTAATAATTACTTATTAATGATTCATTGGTTTGTTTGTTCAATCATATTAAGTAATATTTTCCCTGTGGAAAGGGTATAAGAATACTTACACGGCCCCTCTGCCAGATGTAAGAGACAACTAATGAAATTGCGTCAGGTGGACAGCTAGTGTAACATTTTTGTGAAAAGTATGAGGAGTCCTGAACAACAGGTGAGAGGAAATAAAGTAGTTAAAGACGAAGAAGTCCTAGACGAAGAATAAAGTGTTTTGATATCAGCCGAACAACTTGTGTGGTAGCTGTTTCACTAGTCATGTGTACAGGTCTATTCAACGTTTGTAGTGTCAATGGTGTAAGGACATCATCACTTAACTCCAGTGCCGGAGTCAGCGTCGGGGCAAGCCTATCTACTTTTTTGTCGGTTGAGCAAAAAAAAAAGGAAATAGAGATAACTACTGAGGCCCCCTTACGGCTAACTTGCCCCGGGCCCTGCAAAACTTTGCGCCGACACTACTTAACTCTATTCTGATCTCGTGTATAAGGGAGGAAGATAGATACAAAGTAAGAATAGGTGGAATGTTGGAATATTAACTGGTAGAAGTATTGAAGAGGAGAAAGTTTAATATTTACTGTGTACAAGAAATAGAAAATAGGTGAGGATTATAAAATAATATATTTAGATAATACCAATACAAAGAATGATGTAGCGATAATAATGAATGAGGAGATGAAAAGTAAAGTAGTACAAGTAGTTAGGAAAAGTGACTGAATTATAATCGTAAAACTAATTTTAGGAAAAAGGAATGAAATCCTGAAAAAGTATATTAATATAATGGAGAATACGTATGATGGCATTTGTACCAGGGTAAAAAGTGTGGGCGGAGTAACAGAAGAATTTAGGGTTATAGTAGTAGTTCACCAGGGTTCTGCTATTAGCTCTTACTTATTTTTTATAGTGTTGGATAAAATTATTAGAGAATACAAGGAGAGGTGACTTGGTACATATAGTGTTCAGAGTGTTGGGCGGTCGACAAGAGAATAGAGCAGAGAATAAGTGTATTAGAGATGAGATCGCTTAGATGGATGAGTAGAATGATTAGAGAAGATAGAATAGGGAACGAACTAATAAGAAGGAGTATAGGTATAGCGTCAATCGTGGATAAGATGAGAGAAAATAGACTTAGATGGTTTGGTCACGTTGTGAGAAAAGAGGAATCGGAAGCTGTAAAAACAATTATGGAAATGAATGTTGAAGGAAGAATAGGTAGAGGAAGACTAAAAAAGAAGTAAAGGGATGCTATTGAATACGATATGAGGACAGCTGATGTGAGCGTAGAAGATGTGGAAGATCGTGTCAAGTGGAAGTTTGGGATTAGGGCGGCCGACCCGAAGTGGTTAAGATAAAGGCGAGGTAAAAGAAGAAGAATGAGAATATATTTTTAATTATCGTTTCATTACATTAATGATATTTTGGTGCTTAATTTATTTTCCCATATAATTTTTTTTATTTATACACTTGTTATTTATGATATTGATATGTAAAACTATTATAGTAATAGTTTGTGTACTTACGAATTAAGATTTTTTTATTTTTTCTTTACTAATATTATGTACAATCTGTCGCATATAAACAATAATTTATGTTACTTATAAAAAAAAAAATTCAACACACAGTAGAAACTCTCCATAGTCTTAAGTGGTCAATTTTTTTTGGTGAGGTTAAATAAATTTTTTTCTAAAAAAGAATTTTTATTTAACAATGCATTTAGTTTTGGTTAATTTATGGGGTTTAAATTGTAAACTGGGGGCCTCTAGTTTAATGTTTCAGCTCTCCTCAATTGGGGATTTAAGTATTGTAATTCACTACAAAAGCTTTAATTTGTCATATACGTTATAAGTTGTCAGACATTGTAGAACATTTTCAAAAATGCTAAAAAAGGTGAGTTGAAAAAAGTGTTTATACATGTTTGGGTGGTTTCATTCAACTCTTTCCATACTTAGGTTTTCATAAAAAGTATACCTAAATTAATTTTACTGTGTCTAGTATAGCCTATTAAAACTTCATTAGAATTAGTGTTTAAAAAAAAAGTGTAGCACTTTAACATGCAGAACATTTTTGCAAATGCCATTTTTTGTGTTAGCATAATTTTGAGATATTTTTTTTAATTTCTAATATTTATATACATTTTTTTTTATAATTTCAAAGCTGATTGATTCAACTAGATTTAAATAGGCTGTTATTTGATTATAAGCAAAATCGGTAAAATATTTGCATATAAGCATTCACTTTTACGTGTAAATCAAAATTAACAAAGATTAGGGGAAGTCTGTTTCCGGTGCATTTGAAATAACTGGTCATCGCATGGGATTGTAGTTTTCCTATTCAAATTGAACTGGCGCGTTCTTTGAATACGTGTGTCTGTAGATAAGAGATTATCATGTTAATCTTCAACTCGGGTACTGAAAGACTTGAGCATATTTTATAAAATTGCAGTAATTATAATGTTTTATTTTCTGTTGTTAATAAATGTGTCAGTTGACAAATCATTAAAGATTTTTTAGAGTATTAAATTAATTCCTTATATTTTTGTATAAATAATTACTATTTTTTAAATCTTGTCTTTTAATATTTTGAGTATGCGGTGTAATAGGAAGTAGTATATGTTCTTCATATATAATTTTATACATAATTGTTTTTTTATAAATAGAAAAAAGAAAAAATATTTAGGAACTTGAGCACTTTTAAATTCAAAAACCATTTGTGCCTATGAGAAAATGGAATCAAAATATTATCATAATTAATTTAGCGATTGCCATAACGTTTACACATTAACTTGAACCAGATGAAATAGTAGTACTTCATAATTAATTAAAAAAAGTGAGAAACTTTAAATTCAAAAATCAGATTCGACTATAGTGTGCGACCAATTGAAAGTATGCACTGAATCTTTGTGTATGTGATGTATACATTGTGGAACGCTTTTGTTTTGTATGTATACTAGCACGACTTTTAAAAGGGACACTTGTGATTATATCACATATTTGTGCTGTACGGGTGTACTTGGACGCGTCGTGTTCCAGACTCACTCAAATATGGCACATTCATCACTTTCAAAATCGATATATTTAATCTAACACCACAGTGTTGAATCATACGACTATAGTG